TATATATCATTATTATGCCATTTTAAGAATTACTTAAAAATACTTGATCTAGCATTACTAAATTAGTGCGGATTTTTAAAACTAAGTAACTTTTAGGAAATACATTAAACAGTCATCTCAGTGAGATTTTTTAACCCCTATGTGACTGTATTTGGAGATGGGGCCTTCAGGAAGGTAGTTAAGGTTACGTGAGGTTGTAAGCATTGGGCCCTAATCTAAAAGGACTGGCATCCTTATAAAAAGAGAAAGAGACACCAGAGACCTCTCTCTGTGAGCACACAGAGAAAAGGCCATGTGAGGACACAGCAAGAAGGTGGCCCTCTACAAGTCAAGAGCAGTGTCACCAGAAACCAACCCTGCTGGCACCCTGATCTTGGACATCCAGGCTTCGGAACTGTGAGAAAATCAGTGTCTCTTGTTTAAGCCCCCAGAGCAGTGTCCTGGTATGGCAGTCCAAGGTGATTAACACAGGCCCTCTAAAAACCTGTACTGAAATTACAACTCTGAATAAATATCACATAGTAAATACACCTATTTGCATATAAATGCTTATTTTACCCAACTGAAAGAAGTATGGCAATATTTATTTTTTTAAAGATTTATTTATTTGAGAGAGCGAGGGAGCGAGTGGAGAGAGGGGCAGAAGGAGAGAATCTCCAGCAGACTGTGCACTGAGCACGGAGCCCGATACGGGGCTTGATCCCATGACCCATGAGATCGTGACCTGAGCCAAGACCAAGAGTCAGACACTCAACCGGCTGAGCCAGAAGTATGGCAATATTTAAATAGGAACACACACACAAAGGTAAATTTTACAAAAGAAATCAGAAGTCCTTGAATAAATACTAAAACACAGAGTGATTCTCCGTTACTCTTCACATAAAGACAAAAATCTGGGACTATACTCATTCCGTAATGCAAATTTATTATACCTCAACAACTAACTTGTGATTTGCCCAGTGACAAGATATAATAAAATGTCCAGGTCTAATTTTGTCTTGCTTAACATATTTAAAATTAAGGAATTAGTGCATCACACATTATAACAGAATTGAAAGACGCAAACTTGTTGAAAAATAGCATACTGAAGTTTCTGGAAATTGGATCACTACTGTGAAGCAGAATCTGTACCTCAATCATCTGGACCCTCTTGCTGAGTCTTGCTCAGGACTTCTCTACTATTAACCAAAAATGATAAGACGTCACTTCCAAAATTAGGTTACAAGACGACTGTGACTTCCGTCTTGCCCAACCCTCCTCTATGTTACAGCACCTCTTCCATGTTGTCTCCCCACCCCCTCTCTGCCCTGCAGATCTAGGGGAGCAAGCTGTTGTGTCTTGAGGAGCTCTATGGAGAGGCCCAAGTGGCAAGAAATAGACTCTCCAGCCAACAGCGAGTGAGGACCTGAGGCCTGTCAACAGCCCTGTGAGGGAGCTTCTAACAGATCCCCCCCGGAGAGCCCTGAAATGACTACAGCCCCAGCAGACACCCTGATTGCATCCTGTGACAGTCCCTAAGCAAGCAGCCCCCAGCTAAACCACACCAGGACTCCTGCCCCACATCAACAGTGAGACAGGAACTGTTTGTTTTAAGCCACTAGGGTTTGGGATAATTTGTTACACACTGAGAGATGATGAATACAATCCTGTTTCATTTCTCCTATTGAATTATAAACTCCTATAAAACATTAAGAGTTAGTTCTTCCACCTTAGTGAAACATTTTATATATAGGAAATCCGATAAAGATTTGTTAATATTTAAAGGTAGAATACTGTACTGTTTTAACATAAAATCAGCAGACTCTGAGGATCTGAGGCACTCTAGTAAACTTCTCACAAGGCCAGCTCTCTGTTCAACCCATAAAAAACACACATGTCTCAAGATATAATTGATTATTTAATGATGACAAAATGTCTCAGATTCTACAATACACATGAAAAGTAGCAAAAAAAAAAATGCCCCATGTTTATTTCCCTTTCACCTTATCTAATCTCAAACTGTAATTCCTAAACAGAATTAAAGTGGCTGTAAGAGCTGACACCCAAGAGTAGATGAAAATTTATATAGTTTAAGGTCTACACTCAAATTTATCGAGAATTCCCCTCCACACACAAGAAGATCCCAAAACTGATTCATCTATAGACTATTTTAAGCTTCAGAGTAAAATACACGTTTTGTTAAAGTCAGAGCTCAGCTACCTAGAATCTTTAGAGAGGAATAATCTTGGAGAGACATAATTTTCTGGAACCCCAAGGATTTACCCCACAAAAACCCCCAAATTTTATTTAATAATTTTAGATCACTGTTTTCTAAAATACATAAAATTAGAAAACAGCTCAATAAACAAAATCAGAGATCTTTACAACAGAACATTTCTGAAACTAATACATAAATGTGAACTGTACCTCCCCAAGGGAAGGATATAAAATGCAACGTTCTCTAAATACTTTTGGAGATGACAGTTTTTTAAAAAAGCCATTTTATGGTTTCTGTTGTAGAATATACTTTTTTTTTAATTTTTAATTTTTTGCTTTCCCTTGAGATAGTTCATTTTAGGTTTTTATTTTAAGGGTGCCTGGGTGGTTCAGTTGGTTAAGCATCTGCCTTTGGCTCAGGTCATGATCTGGGGGTCCTGCGATCGAGCCCGCATCGGGCTCTCTGCTCAGCAGGGAGCCTGCTTCTCCCTCTGCCTGCCGCTCCCCTTGCTCATGCACTCTCTCCCCCCCCCCAATAAATAAAATCCTTCAAGAAAAAGTTTTTATTTTAATTGCAGTTAGTTAACATACAGTATAATATTAGTTTCAGGTGTACAATATAGTGATTCAACACTTCCATACATCACCCGGTGCTCATCAGGATGCACTTCTGAATCCCCATCAGCTACTTCACTCATCCCCCACCCACCTCCCCTCTGGTAACCAGCAGTGTATTCTCTATAGTTAGTAGTCTGTTTTTTGGTTTGCCTCTCTTTCCTTTGCTCATTTGTTTTGTTTCTTAAATTCCACATATGAGTGAGATGATACGGTATCTTTCTCTGACTTACTTCACTTGGCATCATACTCTCTAGCTCCATTCACATCTTGCAAATGGCAAAATTTCATTCTTTTTATGGCTGAGTAATATTCCATTATATATACAGACCACATCTTTATCCATTCATCAATCAGTGGACACTTGGGCTGCTTCCATAATTTGGCAATTGTTGATAATGCTGTTATAAACACTGGGGTGCATGTATCCTTTTGAATTAGTGTTTTTGTATTCTTTGGGCAAATACCCAGTAGTGCAACTGCTGGATCATGGGGTAGTTCTATTTTTAACTTTTTGAGGAACCTCCATACTGTTTTCCAGAGTGGCTGCACCAGTCTGCATTCCCACCAACAGAGCATGAGTGTTCCTCTTTCTCCACATCCTCACCAACACCTGTTGTTTCTTGTGGTATTGATTTTAGCCATTCTGACAGGTGTGAGGTGGTATTTCATTGTGGTTTTGATTTGTATTTCCCTGATGATGAGTGATGTTGAGCATTACTGGCCCTTGGGCCAATCAAGTGAAGCTCTCTCCCGGGCAGCTATACCTACAGGTCTAGAGTCAAACAGATACGGGTGGAAGAAAGCTTTTTGTTCAGCCATCAGCAGTCAAATAAATGGTGGCTAAAGCTATGCATCTGGATGAAGGCCACAAGGAAAAATATGAAGATGAAATGAAAGAAAGAGCAAAGTCAGACAACAGAAACAACATATGAAACAGGAAAGAATGAAGCAGAAGGAGGAGGCTAGAAAGGGGACTGACCAGGAATCACCAGAGAGGGAGGGGGAAATGGAGAGAAGCCCTAAAGAAGTCTAGGGAAAGAATTCCAATAAGGGAAGTATCAAGAATTTTGTATCAGATCCCAATGAATTAATTAAAATTGACAAAATTAAAAATTCATTTCCCTTGACGCACTATCACATGTGGGTAGGAGCTACCATGTTGGTCAGAGCAGATACAGGCACTACTATTGCTATAACAAGTCTTCCTAGACAGCACTGCATAGCCCCTGCAATCAGATCAACAACAAGGCATTTGCTCAGTAAGTGCCTGGAGATCAGTGTATGGAGATCGTATACTAATTCATAGTCCGTCTTCAAGGGCAACTTTTGAGAACACAGCATAGCCACTGTTTTCTGTTTATATCCCAAATTGGCGAAACTGAATAGCTTATAAGTGTATTAGTTATCCAACTTTCTAAAATATGGACATTAAGAACATTCCTGTTGTTGGGGACATTCATAACTTCCAAGTACTGTGAACCAACTTTGTGTCACATTCCACGAGACTTCACATACTTCTAATGTAATTCTTACAGAGAGGCAGGCATAGGTATGCCTATGAGGTACAATTGTGTTAAGAGATGAGGAGACAGGGCGCCTGGGTGGCTCAGTTGGGTAAGCGAGTGCCTTCGGCTCAGGTCATGATCCTGGAGTCCCGGGATCGAGTCCCACATCGCTTCTCCCTCTGACCCTCTTCCCTCTCGTGCTCTCTATCTCTCGTTCTCTCTCAAATAAATAAATAAAATCTTAAAAAAAAAAAAAAAAGATGAGGAGACAAGCTGAGCCTGTGAGGCAACTTGCACCCACACAGCTGACAGACATCAGAGTTTGGATTCCAGTCCAGGTCTGTCAGCCCACAGAACAGAGACTCTTTCCGTCACACACAACCCATAATGGAGAAAAAGCCTCCACAATCCAGTACCTAGCCAGATTTTCACTAAATCCATGGCACTGGAATATGTATTTTAGCAAGCACTTGAATTCAAGCTCTCAGATATATATAATAACATGCATATGAATTAATGAAGAAACTTCATTTCCTAAGAGATAATACATGCATTCCCTGAAGACATGAATACATTTACTCATTTCCTTTATTGTAAAACATAAATATCCTCTCCAGGAACAAAAACTGAAAGGTATTTATTTTTAAAAATGATTTTTTTCAAGTACAAATTTTTACTTACCTTCTTGAGCAGCAAATGTTTGACTAGCTGAAATGACTTTCGTTAGTTCTGGATTATACCTTGTTCCCTCTGGAAAAATCACAAGATACATCTGTGAAACAGAGAAATTCAGTTTGTTTTGTGAACTTACCAGTGCCAACCCTATTAATGCTAAGAGAGTATTTTCTATGGTGGGAAAAATGTATATTCATTTTACATGTGACCTTCATTTCAAGCAGAGCAACCAAAATGCAAAAATGCAATTAAATCTTAACATGAATTATATTTAAAACGCAGTCATACATTCACTGGTAGGTCAATCATGAAGACTCCAACAACGTTTCTAATTACACACTAATATTCATTAATTAAAAATTTGCTCATAAAATTCTCACTCGTTTAAAGCCTCAATTAAAGAGCTCTTTTCCCCTAAGATTCTGAAAAATGACATTTTTAAATGGTGCAAATTTTAGACATCAGTGTCCCTAAGTATCAATAATAAAAGCATATCTCATCTGAAGCAATATCTAAATTTCCACAATATAAAATGTACTAAGTATTCACACTTCAGAAGATTCCCGTAGCATTCTTATTTTACACAGCTCCCTTAATGCATTTAAACAATTCAATCTATAGGCAGCTTCACAGATTGAAATAATGCACTTATAAAGGAGAAAGCTGGATGTTTACTAAGTAATCAATTAGTCTAAGCTTTTACTTTTATCTGTTTGGGAAAATAAAGACGGAAACAGTGAAAGTATACAATGAGAAACTCCTAACTTTAGTGGTGAGTTACCCAAACTACACCAGCATGGTTACTTGAGGGCCGGAACACACAACGAAGACATTCGTAGCAAGTCTTTCCAAACACAAACAATACAGGGAACATAGGGTTAGAACCACAGCAGGAAAGAAAGTGATGTCCGTCGTATCCAGCCTCACCTGATCCCAGGTGATGCTGTCTACGCATCTGGCACAGAATCGTTCCCTTATCCGCGTGATCTGTGATTATAAAACTCCTACATAATAAACCGAAGGGAAAGTTCATTTTTCATTAGTAGATAAACTCAGGATTAATCTCTTCCAAACTTTCACCTGAAAAACTTGTATTACTGGTTGCTCTACAATTCTGCATTTTCAGCTTCCCTGAAAATACATATACTTTTTATTCATCCATATAAATTGTCTTTAGAACCCACTATCTTTGCCTAACTTAGAAATTACTAGATTTCTATATATCCTAACGAAAGATTAACCACAGCTGCCATGAAAATGTAGAAAAATGGGTAAAACTAAGAAAAAAAATTAAAATTAGTTCCCAAACCCACAAATTCATTATCATGAGAACATATTTTAAATCAGCTTATGGGGCAACTAGCTGGCTCACTCGGTAGAGCACACGACTCCCCACTGTGGGGTCATAGGTTCCAGCCCCACACTGAGTGTAGAGATGCCTTAAAAAAAATATTAAAAAAAATAAAATCTTTAACATCAGTAAACTTTGTATTCAAAGCCATGAAACCAATCACTGATGATTTTTAGCTTTTAGTTCAAGTATTCAAAAATAAAATGATTTATAATTTGAATGGTTATTAGTAATTCATGTGGTGTTATTTTCCCATCTCTTACACATTTCATTAGAAAGAACACTGATGGTCGACAAGAAAGCAAGAATGAACAATTCTTCCAGGGCTCATTCAAGAAGTATTTCTTATATACCTATTATGTGCCAGGTGCTATGTAGGATAATGAAATAAACATGGTCTTTAGAGACAAGTGAGAAAAAAGTACATTAAACAAACTTTAAAATATAATTACACTTCTATGACTGTGAAGAAGAAGAGCAAGATGTTATGAAGGAGAATAACAAGAGGGTAAGTGGAGTGGATGATGGGCCTAAGACCTAAATAATGGTAAAAGAATGAGTGCTTTCACCAACAGATGGGTAACAAGGCAAGGATGCCCCCTCTCACCAGTGCTAGTCAGGGCTGTTCTAGAGGTTCTAGCCAGGGCACGTAGGCAAGACAGAGAAACAAAAGGCATCCAGATTAAAAGAAAGAAGTAAAACTGTATTTATAACACAAATGACACAACTGTCCATGTAAGAAACCTAAGAAACATTACTGTTTTTTTAATGTTGCTAAATAATAAGTCTAGTAGGGTTACAGAACAAAAAATCAATATACTGAATGTTTAGATACAACAGTCATAAATTAAAAAATAATGCCATCTACAAGTAGCATCAGAAAACATGAAATTAAGAATTTATTTCAGCAAGAATAATAAAAGGGGAGCGGCGAAGAGGCAGGAAGACAGGACCATGTCGAAGGGCCCCGGGCCCGGCAGCTCCGCAGCTTCCTCGGTGCCCCCGGTCGCTACCGCTCAGGTGCTGCAGGCACAGCCCGAGAAAGTGCAGCACTATACCTATGTTAGATACTAAAGAAGGCTTCCCCACAGTCCATTTGCATCTGCTTTGGTGGTTTCTGTCAACCTACAAAGACTGACTTATTGGCAAGGGCAGCTGGACAACTCTGAGAGCAACTTAGAGAAATCCATCTTGGGCACACTCTATAAAGGAGCTCCTTCCCTGGAAACAGCACCCCAGATAAGTGCACAAAAACAAGACACCCTTGTGGACCTACTTCCTCCCGCTTTCAACACCCTGATGCCTGAAGCTATGCTTGATACTAAAGGAGGTTTTCCCACATTTGCATCTTCTGTGTTTTGAAATTACAACTATGGACAGTTATGGCTAATCCTAGTAGATTTTCTTCCCTTCTTTTAACATCTTGGATGAACTTAGGGCACACTAATGTGTTAAGTGAAGATGGATGTTGAATATACTGTGTAGATTCACACCAGCCAGCCATCTTAAAATACTGCATGGGCCACAGAGATATCTGCGGAGAAAGTATGGGTAAAATCAGTGCATATAATAGTTTGTAGAATTTGACAGCAGTATCAAGAGCTGATGAGGAAGAGAAGATGGAAAGGACTCTAGTGACTTAAAAATCTCATAGCGTTCTCTGTGAGGTGACCTTTTTCCTGTTGGGGGCGCAACTTATTTAGGAGATAAAGAAGATACTCAGGCCTGTGATAATATCATCATGTCATATCTGAGCTTATTGAAATGTTTCATCCCTTTTCTTATTCTTTATATCACAGTTTACTTTTTGTGTTCCTAAGTCGACTCATTTGTCTCCTGCTAGTATTTGAAACATCATGTGGCCACCATAAGTCCTAACAAATTAACTTCTAATGAGGAGGGGAAAGGCCCATGTGCCCACCTTCCTGTGAAATGTTGGCATTGTCACGAAACTACCCCCACTGAGGAGACGTAGTTATGCTTAGGAAAGAAGAGGTTGAGAAAAACTTTTGGCCTGGTGTTTTATGACTTAAAAGTTTCAAATAGTAGTTTTTTATATGTAAGTTTCTATTAATACTGGTAAGAACATTACTATGTCTTTTTGATGTAACTTTTACTGCTCAGAGGTGCCAAGTATTTGGTAGCCCATCACATTAGGATTTGTGTAAATCAGTCTATCCAAATATAACAAATTAGAAGCCCGTACTTGTATTTTCTATTTAAAAGAAAAAACCCAAAACTTAAATTTTATAATTGAACTAAGAGTACTTTATAATGAATACATAAAATGAATATTAAATTTCTAGTAGAGCCTGTTGAAGTTAACATTTTTGTTTTTTATTTTTAGTAACTTATTTTGTGGTTATTGTAATTATGGCCTGTTAAAAAAACTCCCCAACGTATTTAAAAAAAAAAAAAGAATTTATTTCGGCAAATGTGGATACCTTTGGCAAAAGATGTGTAAACCTGTGCAGTTAAAAACCACAAAATGCTGCTGAGAGACATTAAAGAAGACCTAAATAAAGACTGTGTTTTGGGGTCCAAAGATTCAATATTGTTATGATAGCAATTCTTCCCAGATTTATCTATAGATTCAATGCAATCCAAATAAAAAAACCCAGCGAGCTTTATGCAGAAACTGACAAGCTGATTTTAGAATTTATATGGGAAATGCAAAGGACCTAAAACAGCCAAGTGACTCTGAAAAAGAACAAATATATAAGATTTAACTACACCAGATTTCAAAACTTATAATAACGCAAGAGTAATCAAGAGAGTGTGGCATAGGCATGGGGATATACAGATAGATCAGTGGAACAGAATAAATGGTTCAGAAACAGACCCACACGTATGCAATCAATTTATTTCAAACAATGGGGAAAAGAATAACCTTCACAGTAAGTGGTGATCGATGTCCATATTTAGACACACAAACCTTGACCTTACACCGAATACAAAAGTTAACTCAAAATGGGCCATAGACCTAAATGCAAACTAAAACTATAAAACTTCCAAAAGAAAACAAAGGAGAAAATCTTAGTATCATTGAGTTTGGCAAAACCTTTTACAGTAGGACAGAAAAAGCAGAAATTTTAGGAGAGATCAATAAATCGGATGTAGGCAAAATTTTTTAAAACTTTGGTTCTTTAAGACTCTGTTATGATGAAAAGGCAAGTCACTGATGCAAAGAAAGACTCGTATAGGAATATTCCGAGGAGTTACATTTTAACAGCCCCAAACTGGCCATTACTCCACAAAGCAGATGATCTTTTATAGGAAATCATATATACAAAGACTGTAACTAGAGAAAGAGTATAGAACAGTCTGAATACTTGGCTTCAAACCCCAGACTCCACTTACAGGCCCTGAGAGCTGGGATAAATTCCTTATCCTCTCTGTGCCTGGAGCTTCTTGTCTACAAAAGGAAAGGATGGCTGTACCTCCAACTGGTAGAGATACTGTAATGATAAAGGTGATAATTTATGTAGTCTAATTAACATGGTGCTTGGCGCAAAATAATACTGCAATTTGCTGTTGTTTAAAACAGATGTGCTTTCGAAACGTGAGATGACTCATCAGGGGCAAAGAAAAGTGACAGAACCTGAGCAGTGGCCAAGAGCCTTCCCCAGAATCAGCTCTGCGCGCTGCATTCACAAGGACAGCAGCCTCTAAAGGCTGCACGGCCAAAGCAGGTCTCCTCGTTCTCTCTAATGAGAGCTGAGCATGACACAGAGCACAGATTAGAG